TCGTTCGCGATATCAGTAAAAATCGAGCGTGTCGAGTTGATTTTCTCTTTTTTTTTTTATTTTTGATCAGTTAGGGTTATCTCTTATTTTTTAGAAAAATTGAATCTGAAGCAGAATTTTAAAAAATTTTAGAAAATTTTAGAAAAATTCCGCTTCATCAGAGAAAATATTTGTTCCCGCGCAGATTTTAGGGAAAGAATAAAATTTTTTCATTTAACCTTTGAGTCTAGAGATAATTTGAGGTGTTTAGCCCTTTATATTCTGACGATACTGAAAACTTATATCATTTTAATGTGACAACAATTTCTCATGGTACTCAAAAAGACATAAATTTGTGAATAACTGATAGAGTACGAAAGTGTTTAAACATTCTTACTTTATATATCTTATCACTTCAGAATAACCTCCTTTATGCGAATCTCTATTTTTCGAATATTATATTATCAGAACAAAATGTCTGTTAACAACTAAAAGCTCATCTGCTACTAACAGACATTCTATTCTGATGATATAACAAAATATTCGAGAGGGATTTCACAGTACATAAAATTATTTGAAAATTTATTTCCTTTCTCCTATGTTTATAATATGTCAAACGTCACCTAATGATGTAAAAGATTAGTAAAAATGTCATAGTTAAGTTAATATCGGGCATAAAGGGTTAAAATAATTTATTTACTTATATATCAAAGGTTCAAAGAGGATAACATTAAAAAATATGGAATAAATATATCGAAAAGTATATATATTCAAAGATGGATTCTTAATTTGTTACGTGCTCCTCTATCATATCCATTATTACATAATTATTATGCATTATTAAATAACAGATATGATACACGAATATATCATTTGTATCGATTTATTAAATAAATCATAGTCATAATCCTCGATTATAATTGAATTAATATCAATCGTGTTTAGCAATGAAATGCTGATCGTCACATACAATTTATAGATAAAATTAATCTCATTTATATCCATTGTTAAATAAATTATAATCGAAACCCTCAATTATAATTTAACCAATTATTAATTGTGTTTACTCAAAGGATGAAGGTTCTGTTTTCAAGAGAATCAAGTCACAGAATTTCTTAACTAGAATTTAACTAATTCTGGACTAATCAGGTACAAATAATGAACAGAAGATTATTCTATCTGTGAAAATAAGTTCTCTCATAAGACGTTAAAAATTTATCAAGTATATCATAAGTTTATTAAACTAATTCTTAACAAACAGTTTATTAAACCAAACTCCATATTTTTAAAAATAAGACTTTGAATGCAAACATTCTACATTTTTATAGACAAAGTAATCTCCTATACGTTGTTAAATCTTGTCCAGTACAGAATTAACCAAATTCAGGTTCACCCAATAAATTTTTAAACTTGAGCTTTCCGGAAGACGGAGTCTCGAAATAAAAAAAAAATTTTATTCTTTCTTCCCTATTCAATCTTTTTGGTTCTCCGCAGAATGTGGAACACCCTATATATATGTAATTTGAGCTAAATTCTAGAAATATAGAAATATATATATATATATATATATATATATATATA